GTACGGTGTAACCTCCGTAACCGGTTAGTAATTTAACGTTACTTGGTAACCGTGGTTGTCTAATTTTTTTCGTACGACGCCCCCCCCCCCTTCCCTCTCCCATCTCAAAACCTATTTTTTATTCTGCAGGGTTCATAGCTGATCACATGAACTTAAATTATTTAATCCTAAGTCAGAGCATTTAAGCGTTCAAAACATATGATATTAATTTTGTGCAGATAGGTTCACTATAGTCATCCGCAGCCCAAAATATACTTTGATTTATTTTAATCATTTTGCACTTTATTGTTAATGAAAAGACTAAAAAACATAATGTATATTTATCTATTTCACAAAAAGGCACATACAAACAATCGAACGAACATTACATCTCATCGCAAAACCTTAATTAGAAAGAAAATCGGTCTAAAAGAAGACGTGTTCCAATCAAATGGTTTGGTGCAAAACCCATCAGTCATCATCGCTACCGGTGCTTGTGCTGTGAAAAATTAAAATGATACCTTTAAAACCTTGAAAGAATATCTGAATTTTATGGAAGAATCAACATCAATTTACTAATGTTTAAATGAACTTCAACAGACGGTGGTTCATGTGCTCCTGTGAATTACGCTTAGTGGTATAACTTGGTTAGATGGAAGTAACACTTAAAAGAACCTATGGTAATCTGAAAAATGATATTTGAACTAAGGGGTCCCGTAATAACCAAATCTACTTAATGAGTTCAAATTGTGAAGGTGGAAGAGGTACCACTTACTTTGTGTTGCAAAATAATGAACAAAAAATTACACTGAATGAGAGGATATTAACTTGTTTTGAACAGAGGCTCCCCAAAAGTATGGCTCTGGATTGGCCAGGGCCCCCTTACTCGCAAGGCCATGATGCAACTGCTCCATTGCCCACCCCTAAATCTGGCATTGAGCTCCAAAAGCATTTCAATATAATGTACTCAACCCCCTGTATATTTTGGGATCAGTTTATAGCAAAAAAGTTGCCTGGTTTTATTCTTAATCCTTCCCTCATTTAATCAAATAAAACTATCTATGTATCGAGATGGTTATAGTAGGGTTAATTTTGATTAGATGTAAATTTTTATTTATCGAGAGAAAGTTTAAATGGTCAATGACCCAAGCTTAATTCTATTTCTTAAAAATCATGTCTAAACTGATATTCTAAAAAAAAGTAGTGCCTGATAATTATTTAGGATGCATAGATGTAATAAGTTTAAAGCACTTCTCGGTTTTTTTGAAATATATTACATTTTTTCTAAGAAGATTAGGTAGTTTTTGTGGAATGAGCAGGGTTAGGTTAATAGAATGAATAACAATGGTATACATAGCTTATATATATAAAACTGTTAGCATGCTTATGATTTTTTGTTTACATCTACAAGTGATTTGTACATGTCAAAAAGATATTTTTTTTAGTGTATTTTCTTGGCCTTGTTTTCTTTAACTTGTTTCAGCAGAAGAGCATTGCCAGAAGGAAGGATGCAGTTGTTCTGTAAGTACGAGTTGAACATTATTTTGATCATAATACTATTTTTTGCCACAGAACCTCACACTCTCCACGCACAGATACCTAGCCAACCAAAGTATCAACGAGGACGTGCGGAATGCCAGGACATTACTACAGCATATGCCGTAGGTTGACTCAATTCCTAAAGCTCCACTGGGATGGTTATTTTTATGAAAACACTGGTGAAGCTTGTTATTTTGACAGTGAAGTTTAAAATTGATATACCTGGGAATAACACTGTATTCATTGTGAAGAATTTGACCGTAAATTACTTGTTAATAAACATGCATGTGGTCCTTTTCTCTATTCTTGATACTCGTGAAAAAAATAATTGGGATCTTTAGAAAGCTTGTCCTTCAGTATAGATCAGATTTTTTTAATGTTGGCCGAGATCATAGTTGAACTCCTGAAATTTTGAAGGAATGAATTGTAACAATTATTACAGTTTCTACTGAGCCCAAAAGAGTTGTATAATTATCAGGGTCAAGTAGGTTGTTAAAAAGTTGGACAGTGTCTGTTTGATCAGTTAGTTATTGTTTTACACAGTAGTTATAGAAATATAGTTTATGTTCATTGTCTCAAAAGACCTGTTGGAATTTCGCCAATAGTCAAGACTGAGTCCAGAACTGACTTTTACCTAAGTTGCTATTTTTTTTAGGACTATCACAGGTTGACTGTTTTAGAATATTTTTTAAAGTCCAGAAGTCCAGTTTGAATGTACTATTTGTTTCTGTGAAGGTCCTATCATTTTTTCACCTCATTATTATTAAACTTTAAATTTGTTAGAAGAATGATTTGAGATTGAACCCAGGATTGGAATATTTCTCATATTGTGTTCTTTAGAGATAAGTTTCTATTGGTATCTTTTTGACGATTGATTCAGATATTATACTCGTATGGTTCAGCTTCAAATGGACAGCTGGTTTTCTCAACAAAAAAGGGGGTATTATTTTTTGTTTTAGAAATTCTATATTTAAAGTTTTGAATAATGTTAATTGTACAAGAAACTAACGTGCCGTTAATACAGTCAGCATTTTCTTAGATTTGTTCACGCTCTATTTTTTTAATATGTTTATATAGATATAGATATATATATATATAGAGTGAAATGTCTGTTTTTAAAAACTCCAATACACAATAATAATAATTGTTTTCCTAGAGAAGGAATTCCTATTTGAAAGGAGATTACTATTACAATAAATCATGCATGTACAACTTCTTCCAGGGCCCAGGCCAGATAACAGTTTTTAAATATACTTGCAGACCACATTGTATGAAGCAAAAGCATAATTTAAAAAGACTAATTCCTCGTAGTGGGCCAGATGCAGTAAATACAATCATATACTTACTCAACCATTATAATATTATTCATATTTCTAAGAGGCACTTAAGTATTTACAGGTTACTTTATCAATACATCCACTGTCATCTTCACTTACACATTCTATACACACACATGCTTAGTTAATTCCTGCTGTTATCCACAACTTTCATATTTTATTTCTTCTATTTTCAACTATTTATTTTTCCTGCAGTGAATACTTCCACACATCATTCTTGTCCATGTTTTAATCTTTTTTCATCTTTCTCTCACTCTCTCTCTCTCTTGTAAGCATTCAGCTGGTCTAATATCATCTTTGATATTTAGGTTCTAGACACAATATGTCAATTTCTCTACTTCTGTTATCTTGAAAGTTCTTTACCATTTTTTTTTTTTGCACCATATTGGCCAACTTCTCAATTATCTTTCGATCTACTTGTCTTCCTGTCAAGTTATTTATTCTTGAGCTTCCATCTGCTTCCAATACTTCCATCACTCTACTCACTCTTTTTAGTCTTTTTATTATTCTCAATTCCACTCAATATTACCTAAATAAATACCTTACTCATATTTACTGTTATGCACTGTCATTAAAGCTCCATACTTCACTGCTCTTTCATAATAAGCCACTATTTCATACTTTTATTCTTCAAAGTTAATTCTACACCCATTATCTTTTATTACTCCTACAGTTCAACTTCCTTTAGCTCTACCTTTTTTACCATCTCAAATTGGCTACTTCCCTTTCAGTTCAAAACTACTATCCAATTTATTCATAGTACTGTTTTTCATTTTCTTATCAATCCATGTTTCCAGCCAAGTTACAACACCATTCTTTTCAAAATTAGTTGAAAAATCCTGATTATTATCTTTTGAAAACTGTCCCACATCAGTATCTGTAAATAATTATCTTTACTTTGCAATGACCACTCTGTTTATCTGTCCATTATTATATTTTGTATCAAAACATTGTTATACCATTTTTTTAGAGGCCTTTTCCTTGTAATAACTACCATATCCTTTTTACTCCATTCAAACTTTTACAATTTCTAACATTTTTTTTATTTGCCGAGTTATCACTGAGTAGTCATTTTCAATAAAAATATCAAATCCTTTTCAACTTCTTTCTGTTCTTTAGAATCCTTTCTTTCTTTTTTTTGCTCATTCTCACACTTAACAAGGGTGCCATCTTCCTTCCTGTACTCTTATATTATGTGCTCTTATGATTCCTTTAGACTTAAAGCCAAAAATATTCTTCATCTCTTGAATAACTTTCAGCTTCAATCCATAATTCTTTTCCATCTTCTTTTACTCCTTTTTTTATATACTAGATTCTGTCTTCTGCTTCATTTCCTATCTCATTAACCTTCTTCTGGCAGGCCACCATCTAAATCTTTAAGTTTCCAATCTCTTCTTGAAATTGTTTCTTTTTTATTCTCTTTTTTTCTGCTTTGTTGCTTGCAGTATTCAAATTTCAACATTTTCCTCATTATTCTGTCTTACCTCAAAAAAGAATTTGGTCCAGTTTAACCCATAGCTTGACCTTATTTTCTTCAAAAAGGATCTTGTCCAGTTTAATCCATAGGATGTTCTTATCTTCTCCTTCTATTGCTTCTTCTTCTTCTCCTGTTTTACTTACTTTTTGCTGCACTTTATGTTTAGATATTAGATAATTTTAATCCTCTCTTTAAGATCTCCTCTTTCTCTTTACATCAAACTTATACTCATCCAGTTTAGATAGACTTTCACTTCTTGATCTATCCATTTACTTTCTTGTCAACTCCAATAAATTTTAACCTTGTTTGTAGTTTAACTCTTGTTACTATTCACTGATGTTTAACTTAAATCTTCACTGTTGTTAAATTTAACTCCTCAGTTTTGCAGAATTTAAATTAATTCTATCACATTAAGTTTACTCACCTTTTTGTTTCTTTAATCAGTTCTGAGTTACTTGAAGCCTGGTTTGCTAATCAAAATTGACTTTAAATAATTATTACCATTAAATCTCTCTATTATTGTCTTTGCACAACCAAATCATTGACTTTAGCTTGATATCAAATCTTTAGGGTCCCAAATGTACCAAGACTGTCAAATTTCTAACCATTAGTTACTTGCTTACAATTCTTTTGAAGCTTTTAATTAAATAAAAATACTGACAAAAGGGTTTTATGTAATTGAAACTTTTTTTTATAATGGCATGATTTCTTTTATCTCCCTAACTGCAAACTTCAAGATTTCACCTTGATAGTAAAGTACTTTGTTGTTTATGAGGAAATTGTCAGAACTTTATTTAATTTAATCTTTACATAAGTATTTTATCATTTTATGTGGGATTAACAAACACATATTCATGGTTCTACATAATTCTCTCACTTGGGGGTGACTGGGTGTGGCATCTTGCCTTTTAAAAAAGTTTAATTTGATGATAATAGTAATTTTTCTTTAAGGTGAAAAATCTGATCAAATATAATCAAAAGTGTTTTTAAAAAATCTAAGGAAAAAAATAATTTGAGAAGAAGGTTGTCTTAAGGTTTATTATTGTATATGCGAATGAAATTTAAAAATACTTTTTCAAAATGCTTACCTAAGTTTAAAATGTAATCATAGTATTTATTAATTTTATGGTTGATCTTTTACAAAGCCTACCTACCATTCAGAAGTGTTATACATAATTTTTATAAATCTGAAAACAGTGATGAACTGAAAAAAAAATGCATTAACTTTCATTAATCTCAGTTTAGTTATTTTAAATGAAAGTTAGAAATGTTTCCCATTTGGTTTTAAAGAGTTTACAATTATTTCTGTTACCAACATTTTCCATGGTAACATCAGTTTTGAAGTTATTAGTGTATAATATTTGCTATGTATTATGCAAAGAACACTTACCTTCAGAATTTTACTATTAAATCCCAGAAGAAATTACACAATAATTGCTATAAGTCTTTTAGGAAGGAAAGTGTTAGGGTCCGTGTTTATGCAAAAGTTTATTTTTTAAGAAGAATTAATACCTGTATAAGATATACAATATTTTGGAACAAATTTCTTTCAACACTATGTTTAATTTTGATATATGGTTAGTTGTTATTTACTAACGTTAGTTAGAGTATACAGCCATGTAGCTGATTATACTAAGATAAATTCTTTTCTTTCAGGATCAAGCTTCCGTAGTCATGGGAGAAATTTCACCACACCAAGAGACTCATGATTCTGATCCTTCCACTGCCACACCCTCTTCTGTACAGGAAATGCGGTACCAGGAGAACATCGAAAGGTAGGTGTATTTTGTGAAAATTTCAAATCTAAAAATAAATAAATTATACAAACCTTGTAAAAATTCAAAACTTCAAAAAGTGGGACTTAAGAAGCAATTAAATTCTTTAAAAATTTAAATACTGCAAGTAAAACTCAAAACTAAACTAGACTTTATCGGTATTAAAAAAAACAACGTAACCATATGGGAGGAGGGCATTCAGTTTTAAAAATCAAGTGGGATGGAAGATCAAAATTAAAGGGCATGTACATGCTCTTAGCTGAAGGAAGTAATGTGTTAATCGTTATGTCTGAGGTAGCAAGAATGGCAACTTTTATTGAAATGGTTTAGTGGAATACTAGCAATGTGACAAAAATGTGTTTGTTTCTGATACATGTGCAAAACAACACAAGAACTATCTCCACTGTCTGTCTTTAATTTTGAACTGATAGCCTAGAGGGATGGCAACTGGTCAAAGCATCCACAATCAGCTGTTTGGCTATTGTAACTGAATAGTGGAATTTGACTGCCACTTTTATAACATACCCACAGTTCCAAAGTGTGAAAGTGTAATTTTGCAGTATTGAGATGTAAACTCTTGGATTCACAGTCTGGCATGATAAACACTAGGTTACACCTGGCTTGACAGAACAATAAGAAGTTGTTATTGTTTTTGTTTTGTAATAACTTTGACATTTTGTTTTTAGGTTTTTTGCCAGTCAGCCAAAGACATATTCATCTGATGGGTCAGGGGAGAGCAAGAGTGAAGAACGACCAAATACAAGTACTGATGAAGAAATTGGGAAGTGTAGTGGTAAGAATATTTCTCAACTCAAATCAAAACCATAAACTGAGTGCTATACTTTAGTAGTGAATTTAATTTTATCATTTTTCATATCCATCAGATATCATACACTTATCAATTACAATCAGTTATAAAATTTTGTATAAACTTTATAAAATGTGGAAAACTTTACGAGTCTGTTATTATTATTTTTAATTTTGCTCAAAAACCGTAAAAACCGTTAGCTGCAGGCTTAATACTTTTCAACGAAATAGGCCCCCCCCCAGTTGCAGAACGGTATGTCTGCGAACTTATACTGCTAGAAACCGGGTTTTGATATCTGTGGTGGATAGAGCATAGATGACCCATTGTGTATTTGTGTTTAACTACAGAGAAACAAAGCAACAAAATATTAAAATAAAAGATATTTGCTATTCCAACCGTACAAACATTTATTTTACTATGATAGGCATTTTACTGCTTGAAACAAAAAAAATTAGTTTTTAACTTGTATCATAAACATATTATTGAATTTTCCCAGAGAATGTTTTTTTTTTCTTGTTGTTTTTCAGACAGTGCTTTTAAAAATTTTGTATGAATCATATTTTTTCAGGATCTTCTGAAGATAAAGAGAGACAGTTTTCTTCTGACTCACCAGGCTCAGCTGCTAGGTTCGAGGTTGGGGTTTCAGGTAGCTCTACTAAAAGAAAGTCATCTTCTAAAGGAGATTCTGGGAATGGGTCATTTCCATTAAGAAATGGAGTCCAGAAAATGGACACTGGTAATGGCAGTAGCAGTGATGGAAGTGCGAAAGGAAACAACATTCACCCTACTGTGCATTCCCTTACTGAGGAGGCTCTGTCTCAACACAATCGTATGACTCAAAAGTTTTTCAAACCTTGGAAAGGAAAGATTTCAGGTATATCTAATTCGACTCTTAAGGAGAAAGACGCTCTTAGGCACAAAAGAGCTCAAACAAAGGAGCATGCCGTTGGTTCATACAAGCACAAACCAACTCGTAACTACACACCGACAACTAGTACTTCTACTACAGTCACACCAACTCAGACAGAACAGAAAGCTGATCCCATGCAGCCTCCAGGAATGCTTTATATGGCCTTTAATGTGCCTCCACCATTTTCACTTCCAAGTTTTCCAGTAATGACTCCCACAGCTCCCATTAATACATCAGCCAACGTCACCTGTGGTACAACATCCTTCACAAACTCAGGATTCACAACGACAATACCAAACTTTGGTTATCCTCCTTATACATTTATGCCACAAACCAATAATACTGGAGGGACCCCTGGGCCATTCTTTATGCCAGGTATTTTTTATTGAGTTCACTACATGTATACAAAAATTATATATATAATTACTGATGTAATTCATTAAAGTTGCTGATGTACTTGTATATGGTAAACAGGTTTAGTAACACTTCCGTTTAGTTGTTTAAATAGTTATAAATAATGTTGCTCATGATATCTATTAAAAAGCATTCTTAGTTAAAAAATGTTTGATGATTTCTACTTCTTTGATAAAAAAAAATAATGTCCACGTTTTGTATTGAGCTTGTCGAACAAGCTGAATTAAGAAGTAACTACAAACCTTAATGAAGATTACAACATTTCTTCTAGTCATTTTCTACCACAGTGAAGAAAAGGTATCTCCTTTTAAACTTTAAAATAATGTCCACGTTTTGTATTGAGCTTGTCGAACAAGCTGAATTAAGAAGTAACTACAAACCTTAATGAAGATTACAACATTTCTTCTAGTCATTTTCTACCACAGTGAAGAAAAGGTATCTCCTTTTAAACTTCTCGAAGCTTACCATTTTGAAATAAATAACAAAATATTAAAAACATGTCTTTATTTTTTTACCATATACCTGAAAACAAACCAGTCATACGGTGAGATGTTTACAAATGTAACGGTGAAAGTAATTATGGTAAGGTAGTAACAACTGGATATCAATCGTTGTCATGGTTAATAGCCTATATAATCACCCAAGATAAATTGTTGATTAGTTACTAATTAATAACTAGACTTAGGCAGTCCGGTAAACTAATAACCATGACTACAAGTGGCAGTGAAAAAGATTGGATATCTGTGTTCAACACTTTGCATGTTTTGTATAAGTGTCCTAATTGATATTTACCTAAGTGTGAACAAATTCACATACAAGAGAAAATTTTAAATCAGTGTGATTTTTCACCATTAACAGTTATCCTAAACAGACCTATAGAATAAGTAAAGACAATTCAAAATTCTCACAAGAGCAAAATAAAAGGAATTCCACACAAAAGAATGCCTTTAGACCAATAGACATTCAAAAGATTAAATGACTAATACCTTTGATGTAACATAAAAAAACATTGGTTCCATTACATTTCTTGGATGCCCCCCCCAGTGGCACAATGGTAAGTCTGTAGACTTATAACGTTGAAAACTTGGTTTTGATACCTGTAGTTGGCACAGCATAGATAGCCCATTGTGTAACTTTGTACTTAGCTACAAATAAACATTTCCTTGATTACTTTACTAAGGCTTTACCTGAATATATACATGGCATATTTTTATAGTTCTCGTTTATTTCTTGTGTTCCTGCCTTTGACCCCAGATGATATAGTCATATAGGTTTAGCCAGATGATATAACCAAACAGGATAAGAAGCCGAGTCAGTTTGGTAGAATATCATTGTGGGGTCAACCTCAATAGCCAGATGATACAGTTATACGGGTTTAGCTATATGATATAGCTATACAGGCAGGAATGTCGAGAGCCAGCACGGGCCCCGGGGCAAACATCCTCGCCGGGCCCCCCTTTCTCTCTCTCTCTTTTTTTATTAATATTTTCAAGAATTTATTAAAAAGAAGATCCTAAATTAGGACAGCAACGTGCTCATAAACAAGACAAAATCATAGCAGGAGCTGTTTTTACCTCACAGTATAAGCGTAAAAACGTTAATAAAGTAACAACAAACATCTATTAAATCTATAAAGTAACAAATACATATTAATTATTACTCAAATTATTATTTCAATCATTCTTAATGTGTCAAGCATCTATGTACAAAGAAAAGCCAAAACTATTTTTCATTTAATCGGTTATGCCGTAAAGCCCGCAAAGCATCTTTAGGCTATAAGGTTTCATTCTCCCGGGCCCCGTTGCAGTTGCCCCGCACCCCCGTCAGTGGACCTGTATACAGGATAAGAAGTCCAGTCAGTTTGATAGCCTAACATTGTGAGGTTGACCCCAAAAGCCAGATAATATAGCCATATAGGATAAGAAGCCCAGCCAGTTTGGTAGTATAATATTATGGAGTCAATAAAAAAATTTATGTTACTAAATTCATTTGGTTTTCTTTACTGTTCATGATCAAATTAATCTTTGCTTAATAGTCCTAAACCTACATTTTTGTGGAAACTTTGACTTTTCTTTCAGGCATCAGTGAACCTGAATACCACATTTGCACACTTTGGTTTTGGCATCATGTTACCACACTTTCACTCTAACCTGGGGTAACATGAAGAATCTACAAACAGTTTCCCTCGAAAGAAGCTGAAACCTTTTCTAAATAGACATATTTTAATGGTTAATCTTAAATAATACACTAATAGAACTTAAAGCAAAACTAAAGTTGATTGCAAACAATGCATTAAGATGCATACTAGTTTTAGCCTGAAGGAATAGTGGCAGAAAGCATGGTAAAACTGGGAAACAAATGTTTGTGAAATATTTTCCTGTTATTACATTGTATTTTCACAGCCTGTTCTCCTGTGCATCACCTTGTTGTATAAATCAAGATTGGTTCTTTACAGTAATGTATAATGGGATTAGATACAAGTTTTAAAATAGTTCCGAATATAGAATTTTGTATTGATAAAAAACAATCGCAGAATACAAAGGTCTTTGTGTTAAATAGTTAACACATTTAAAAAATAATAAAGGTTATTAATGGGATCAGTTCAAACTTTTAATGAATTTTTTTATCAAACTTACTTTGACATCTGTGTGGTGGTGCTGATCTGGAAGGTTTACATGTACATGATTTCAATAAGACTATTTTTTCTTCTTAATCAAGAAATAAAATTTTATTTTCTATACCTTTAGGCCTTTTCTAAAGAATTAGTTTAAAAAATGTAGATAGACTTTGAATTATGTAATTGTAAAATTGAATTGTTTCAGAACGAGCATTATGTATGTTAAGAAACTACTAAGTGGTATTAACCTGTTATGCACTCATAGTTTTTGATCCAGTGCAAAAACTATGCACTCATAGTTTTTACACTGGATCACTTTCTTTTACTAACTTGGGTATATTTTAATCATTAGGGTACTCTCTAACAGATATAGCATTTCATCAAAATGAGCTTGCAAAATCATGTTGGCCATAAATGTTTGCGATGTGTCTTAAGTTCTGATCTATGTAGGTGGTCTTGCTTGGATCAGAACTCAATGGTAGTCGGAGGGTTAACTTTATATTTAACTTATGCATCTTTCCAATTTTATTTTTTAAATTTATCCACACTAATGAGACTTAACAATTTCCCTTCAATATTCTTATATGGATTGTTGTGGATATTCAAGGTGTTATGTGCGTTGGAGCCATGCCATTCTACCCATCGATGCCCACAGTCATTCCTCAGCCAGGCTCTCATTTATGGCCACCTTGTGGAGCTATGCCTAGTGTTGGTGTCACCAGTTGTGGTCAGTCTGCAGCCTATAATGGAGAAAATTATCCAGGATCTTTTGAACAACAAATGTTTAATCCAACAGTTCCATTCAGCATGAACACGACAAACCTGGATGAAACACAAACTACTGAAAAGACCAGGGTCTCCCAGGAACTGCAGGTTAGTTGCTCTTTTTATTTACCAGGTTTTGTGTGTGTGTTTAAGAAGTATTGGATTCCAAACTTCTGGGTGGACCATGTCCAAACCTTGACAGAAATACAGCCAGACTGATACTTTATGAAACACTTAGTTGAATTTGTTCATCCAACTTCTGAAGTATAGAAGATTTAAATTCTAAATTACGTAATTCAAGTTTGAAGTTGGTGTTGCAAGAACCTGATTTGCTTCTTTAACAAAACTACATTCTTCGTTACCATAGTGAATTTGTAAGGAATTTAGACACACATTTGTGAATACAATAAGTTCCATGCAATTCTTTTATGAGAAAAATTTATAGGGTTATCACAAAATTTTGCTCTATAATTGCCAACTATATTGTTGATTTAAATGTAAAGTTAGGAAAAATATGATTAATGTTAAAAAATAAAATGATGATGCTCTTTCAGGATGCATCTGCCCATTTATCCAACAGCGGATTTACCAAGGTTTGTTCAGAGTCACCTTGTGAAGTTCAAAAGGTAAAAAATCTGTTTTCTGCTGACCCTGATGCTTGTGATAATAAGTCTTCATCCCCACAGACTATATATAATTGGTCATCTCAGATAAACACAGAGTAAGGGTTAACTGATCCACACAAAACACAAACTAAAGTAAGCTGATAACTTGTTAAGGTCACATGAAGCATACTTAGAATTATGCTAGTTACTGATTGCCCTTATAAGTAGTTATCAGTCAGGAGCTCCAATAGGGCTGTGGTTATTTAAGAACCAATTCTGTTGTAGTAGGTTAAGAAATAATTTGTTATTATGCACAACTTGTGCAGCACAGAAACGAAACTAAGAAGTCTAAACATGTGATTATGTATGGCTATTATGCTTACTAAATCTTGAGTTTAGTGCAATATGTAGCATTCACTAAACAAATTTTTATTTTTAATTACCGTATTCTCAAAAGGACATAATGAAACAAGTTCCGTGAAAGTATTAAAACAACACTATGTATCTCGATCAGCACATTTTCTTATTTAACCTCATCAACCATTCCTTCTCTATCCTTTAAAGATTAAGCACCTTTTTTTTTGCAATACAATGCATATTCTAATATCACAATCTTTTTATTAAGAAACTTTTGGCGTTTTTAATCCAGAACAAGTTCTCGTACTATAGACTACATAATACAAAAGTAGAATGTTAGTGGAACGTAATAACAGTCTGAGGAGAAGGTGGTAAGCTGAATTTTGCTACTTAAAAAAGATTTTAAGTTAAAATAATTTTACATAATTGACTAGTTGATGTAAGTTAAATTACAATAAACACAAATTATATAGATGCAGTTACATAGATTTTGCTAACATTTCAGTCTTTTTCTCTTCTTTCTGGTAACAACACAATGAAGCAAGTATAAACTGACTTAACTTAGTACTTTGGTTTCTAAATAAGACGTGTAAAACTGCAGCATTTTTTACCTGTAAAACAAACCAAGCTAATCTCTACTTCTACTGAGATTAAATCTTAAGAACAAAAAAACTGTGGTTCTTAAGATAAATTTTAAACTGAATGTGAAATTATTTGTGCTTTAATATACCTGTATTATAATTCTATATAATTTGGAATCGTGGTTTTTGATGGAGTTGAAGTTGTTAGTAATCCAACTCTTTCTTTTTCTTAGACATTTAGTGAGTTTAAAAGAGAGAAAAAAATTCTGAAAACAAATTTAAAGCTTGAATGTTTAGGGATTTCTGCTAATGTGACCTGGACTAAACAGCTCCATATCTTCAACTAAAAATTTCTTTGCATTTTTCTGTTCAGTGATTGTCAGCAGTAATCATCAAATAGTGCAAAACTTGCATAGGTTGAACAATTGAAAGGAAAAATGTGGGGAGGAGCGAATTATTGTAAATTGTTTTCCTTTATCATTTGTTAATTGAAAATATTTATCCTTTCTTGAAAAGTAATTTTATGGTATAATGATGCATTGGAAAGATGAAGTAATTTTAATTCCAAACATTATAGACTGAAAAAGAACAATTAAAACAGTTACGGGTTCAGCGAAATGTTTTTTTTTAAATGTTATAAGAAATTCTAATCCTATACTTATTATTCAAGAAAAAGTTAAAAATCCAACACATGAATTGCTGATATCTCTTAAACCTAAATTAAAGGTTTCTGGTTTTATTTGAGATAAAACCTCAAAATCTATGTTTAAATTATTATAACAAATTACTATAAAAAACAGTACAATAAACACCAATTTCGATGATAATAACTTATATAATTGTAAGATGATATAATTGCAAAACTAGTAAATATTTCTCTTACCCTTTTGTAACCACTTATTTTGTATTTCAAGGAACAGGAAAAATTTGAAAATTTGATGAAATATTTAAAAAAAAGGTATATTTTGTAGAAGAAAGGCCCTATAAACGTACGAGTAAAAAAAGATCCTTATCATATAGAACCCTGTGAAGCTTCGAGATTTGATTTGATCGTGAATTGGGATTGGGGATTCGATTCATTAGTTATGGCTCTGATTCAATATTCTTGAATCTACATTAATTCTGGTAAACTTTAGAATTTAGCTTTTAATTCAGTCTTTATACTGGAACCTATTTCCTTGTAATAACACTTTTGTACCATTCTTTTTCCAGATGTTCAGGTACATTATATCTTTTGTTTTTAGAAAGATGTACCTTTATACTCATTATTAATTGTGTGTAGAAACACTCTACATAAATAAAGAAACCATATACTATTTGATTTAAAAATTAATTCAGCTTGTATACCATATAATCTATATTTACACAACTGATCCAAAAATCATGACTTTAGCAATTTTTTAATGTGGAAACTGTGGACAATGAGACACAGAGTCATGTTTCATCCTTTTCGGTTCTGATGATAGAGTGAAAATGCAGAAAAAGTCGCATGAGGCACTTGACCCTGCTTCTGTACTTCTAATAGTTCAACTTACTGGAATTAGTGTAATGGTGTGGGAAATGTTCTTATATCTGTGTTTAGGCCTGTTAATTCCTGTAGGAATCTGAATAACATTGAGAGTGTACCTAAACATTTTTTGCTCACCATGTCCATCTTAATGGACAAGGTATTTTCCGGAATGATGACACAACAATCCACTTTCCTCATATTTTCCAGAATTGGTTCAAATAGCCTGACAATTTTTTTTCCCCATCATCTTTTTGTTTTTGTCAGTACCATCACTGTACCTCAATCCATTATTGATATTAAACACAAACATATCCTGATGAAATCTATAAACTGACTGCTTACCATACTCCGTAATGAATGGGCTATAACCAAACAAGATATCTTCTGGCACTGTGTAGTCTAGTCCCTGCTATGATCATGGTAAAAATCTATTCAACCTGACAATAGGCAGGAATTTGAATTAAGTGACCAATGATGTATAAGAACATAACAATTAAAAAGGTAGCCCTTTTTTTTCGTGTCTGTTAACCCATTGACTGTAGCTGCTCTAAACACGTGTGGAATTTTTGCAAGCCATACATCGTATACAGCACACTCGCCGTCAATGGGTTAATATTGGTGACTGAGTTATTACAATCCAGTTAATAGAAGTTGTGCTCAGAAGTTTACAAAGAACAAAAATACCAAATCAACAGGTTCTTTTGATAAAAATTTTCAATTGTATCTTTGAGTGAAATTACTTTAAGAGTGTATAAACTTTGACTATTGGTTCTGTTGTGGATGTTAGTCTTTCTTACAAAGTTATGAAGATACAAATAGAACACGTTTCATCCTTTAATTTCATTTGTTGTTTATTAAAGTAAAATATTAAAGTTTGCAGATAATTAAACCATGTTTTGTCTCTATAAACAAACACTCCAAGGTTAGGACAAATGTTATCATTAAAAAGAAAAACTTAATATTTCACATGATTTTACATTATGTGTATGACAGAATTGACTTTTGCTTTTATAAGTTTTGTTTTACACTTTCCCCTAGTGGTGAAAAATGTATTCTGTTTTACAGAAAAATCGTGAATTCGGTTTCTTTAGTTGATTTATCTGTTGAACAGCACTAGGCTGCTTCTGACTGCTAGCTACTTATCTTGGAGAGTTATTGGTTAGTCTGTGACATTCAAAAAGCCTGAGTAACTGTAAGTAACATTGCATTCTCAACAAACCCAATTATAGAAAGAAACTGAACCGCATCTTCTTAAAAAAGTACCAAGTGCATGTTCTTCTTGTTTCAGGTAAGTAAGTAGCAACACAAACATAATTTTTAGTACATGCAAGCTAAGACTAAAAACCCAGGATTTGTAAATTTGGTATGGAAAAAAATTAGGTCAAAATTGTTTTGTTTCTTTCAAAACAGTTTAGAAGACAAATAAAAAAAATTAGTACTACGAGTGTTCCTATCTGTTTATCAATATATCGAAATGTTTGATGCTAAAGATGCAAACATTGATTGTGCTTTAGTTACTGTCATTCTGTAGTTTTCTAAGTCTAAGTTTCCTGCTAAAACATGGTTGATAGATCAACCATATAGAGCACACATGAAGGTTTGAGTAGTTGTATTATCTTTACCTCAACAGTGTATAAGAAGTCACCGATGACCTATTACTTCACAAGAAATCTTGACTGAAGTGTTTTAGTAAATCTCTTGAGTAACAACCTGTACATTATATCCTCGTTACTTTGAGATCTTATTTCATGAATACCAACTCATTATTATTTTCAATGCTCAAAACGTGTGTTAGTAATATTTCTGCATCACTGGAACAGGTATTTTTCATTAAATAGGCTCGTCTAATATAAAAACAAAACTTTTTTTAGTATATTTTGTGTATTGCACTGTATGGTCATTTCAGACTTTTATCTTTGTAATCATCTCTATGATTTTAATTGGCAAGGTATCATGCAGTTATGCTGTCCTTTCGTTGAATGTTAATTATTTTAAAGAATAAAAATATATAATTTAATTTAGGAGTTTCTCCAGTCTTGTAAAATGAGTAAATGCTTGCTATATGGGAAGTGATGGAGAGCATGCAATCTCTAGTTTAAGTTAACATTGTTACAAAATGAGACAAAAAAATTATTTCAGTGTTCACCCTAGATGTATCATAGTCTTCAAAAAAAAATCATTTTGAATAATGAAAGGATGTTGTAAATTGAATATTCTCTAGAATTCAACTTCAGTCTTGTATGATAACTCAAACAGTAATACATAGCTCTGAACTACTCAAGTTTGATATTATACAGTCATATTCCTATCTGTTATAAAGAGCTCCTTTAAACATGTGCTTCTGAAGACCAGCCTTGTATGACCACAATTAAATCAGATATCATCTGACCAGATCACTAGTTTTTAAACCTTTTTTGGAACAATTTTCGATACAAGCTACATATTTACCTCATCTTATTAAATATTTAGCCATGCATAATATGTTCTCCAATTTAAAGAGGAAAATAAAAGAACAACATGTGTACCTTTAAAATTAATATGTTATTAAATGTGATAAAAATGGAGCCTTGTCTGAGTTTGGATTTTGGTCCTGCTATCAATATATATATAGTGAAGAAGTTTCAGTAATATTTTACAGTACATGATATATGTAATGGAAATGTAGTTTCATAGAAAGTCATCTATAATATGCTTAAATAATTGTCAGTACCTTACCGAGTTTGTCTGTCATAGGTGACATCTTCAGAAGATGGCACCAAGAGAGGGGTATTGAGGTCAAAAGCACACTTACCAGTAACACGGAGAGGAAAGTCTTCTTCAGTGGAGTCTGACACTGAACTGGTTCAACCTAAACTGATGAGAGTGGGCTTGTCCAGTAAGAATGACAAAGATGAGAAAAATTCTGATGAATCATCAGAAAAAGACCTCCAAGAGGACACTGTCTCATTTTCCATAACATCCTCCCTTTTAAAATCAGATGGTTACTCCAGTAGATCACCTTCAGAGAAAGCTGAGGTGAATATATTTTTGGTAGTTGCAGTATATGATCTAGGGATTCTTTCAGAATTACGAAGGAAGTAAATGATATTTAGGAGGAGCTTATTTGGAAATTAGAAATTATCATCAACTTATTAAAACAAGCATATTATTAACCATTTTTTAAATGCACCTCATGACTCTTTCTCCACACCCTTTTGTTCCTTGATGGCTAGGACTAACACCCGTGTTTTTTAGTGAAATAAGAAAGCTGTTGTGATTACTTAATGATAAATAGAAAATAACAGAAAGTTAAATAAACAATTTTAATTATAAATAAAGTTATATCTTAGGAGAACAAAACTCAAGCTCTTTGTGCTGATATAAATACTTGTAAAGGCATACTATTTAGGAAAACGTTATTATTTACATCTAGTTATAGAGCTACTTGTCTCTTAACGTTTGTATTACGAACTGTTGCTAATGTAAGATCTTGGAAGCATGTAGTATGATACTGTGTATAGCATGATGTGAATCATTATATTTCTTGAGACTTCTTAATAACAGTACGTGCACTACCTTTGTTATAGGAAATGGAAGTGGACACCAAGGAGGAGTCAAAGAAACTCCTTCGTCCAGTGCGTGGTAACCCACCTTGGATGGAAGGCATTGACATGGGTCCAGACACAGTGTTCTTGTACCAGCTTCCAATCAGAAATATGGAAGACGTGCTGAAGAAAGACTTGGAAGTTTTGCAGCAAACAAAACAATCGGAACTTGTCAATAAACAGTTAGCTCAACTCCAGTCGGAGCTGGAAGAGGAGGGCCAACTCCAGGCAGTTTGTTACCCTAGTTCTTCTATAAATGACAAAACTGAATCAGAACTGAAGACGTACATCAACTTAGGGTTTTCTACATTTGAGGAGGACCTTGATGAGGTATGAATAATGGGTATTAATCATATTAAAAGGCACTTGTTACTAACAGTACTGTATCATAAATGTTAGTGTTTACATTTTGTACACATTGTTCAAGCTGCTGTGACCAATGATACGTTTTCATTGTAATCTTTCTTTTATGATATAGAAAATGGAACACCAAGAAGAAGCAGTGATTCACCTTTTATCTGGGGATATATAAAGAAAACCATTCTTCAGAGAATGAGATACAAAGGTCTCATTTCCAGAGTGCTTCAAGTTGTATAATTTAATCAACAAAGTGTGCACACCAAACTATAGAGTGTCACCATTTTCCGCAAACTCAGTGAATATCTGTGTGTGTGAGACTGAACAATGGAAACTTCTACATACTTTCAATTATAAAGTGGACTTTAGCTTTATGAGAAGTTACCCATTTCATTAGCTCCTAAGATGAAAAATGGTTAAGACTTGGCACATTCTATGACAATGCACAGGCTTTCATAGAGAGGGTTGATATTGTACAGTATCTGTGTTTTATCCCTTACAAGCTACTTGGGAAGAATAGGATTTGGTAAAACATCATACGTTAAATAAAGGAAATCGGGCTTAAGGAAAAAATAGACGAAATGTTTACTTTCCAATAATTATCATCACTTTTATTACTGTAATTCTTCATGTTCAAGTATGTTGGTTCAGGTATTTTTTTTACCAAATATTTCTATTTCAGATCCTTATTTACGATTTTAATCACAAGTTAAGAAGTGGTGAAGGTGAATTATGTATTGTAGGTTCCACTGTGGCCTTTGAGAAAAATATACTAATTATTTCCCAATGCCAATATTTATCCAAGTTTTTTGACTTTTAAATGTTACATTAAATTATCAGACACTAGTGTGGGCACTTAGCTGAGTAGGTGAATCTATTTTTAACACCTGCTACAAGCCCCTCATATTTTCTGTGATGATGTTATAACTGTATTAACTTTTTTGCATTTATGGGAACTAATTTAGGCTGAACAATTTTTGTCTATAAACAAGAACCAAAAAATACATTATTAGGTTATCAAACCAAATATTTTTCAATACATCTGAAATTACTTGATATAAACTTTCCAAACATTATTTTTAATTTGAGTTAACCATACTAGTTTTTTTTTGTCATTAGCCAACATTAATTCAACAACTATCAGGTTAATTATAAACTAAGCTTTAAAGCAAAGAAACACTATAATTATGATAATAAATTCATATTCTACAGATCCCTAAAACACTACAAACTACAGAGTAACGTGAAGTGACATTGTAATTGAGCATAAAACATCTGAAAATATCGTTAACAATAAGGGCACCTAACTGATTGCATTCTAATCTTTGTAAGTAAGCATTACTGGGTTGATTTTTAGACTTGATCTAAGTAGGAAGCTTTCTCTGATCAGAAGTTAATATTAATAATGCTTTATGCCCTTTATCAAACTGAAAAGAGACCCTCTGTGGAGAAATACAGTGAAAAATCATCACATGTGGTTAGTATTCAATATTGAGCATTCTTTGGTAATAAACTCTTGAATTGTTACTCATGCACATTAACATTTCAATCAACAAAACTAAATTACTTGTGTAATGTAATTTAGCACAAAATGCAATTGAATTCTAAGACTTAGTTAATATAAAATGTAGTATGCAGTAGTGACAGGTACTACTATTTCAGTCTTGATTATAGAATATTCATTACTGTAGTTCAGTGTGTGTGTGTGTGTATATATATAAATTAACTAATGTTACACGTGATCACTTTTCTTTAATTTCTGCACAATGTCCATTTAAGTCTTGTGATAACATTTTTCACAACTTGGTCCTGTTTTCTTCTCAAGAAGTAAAATTATTGTAATGTTTTGATTTATCATAAAATTCACACTTTGGTCCATATATATAATATTATATTTGTGTTCATTGCTTTGGGTTTCAGGAAAAGTTTTAAAATTCTTTATTTTGCAAAAAACAAGTGAAAATAAAATCGGAAAATGATCATCATTAATGTGCATTTTTGCAGTATTCTCAATGGAATACTTAACTAATAAATCAGTGCATTCTAATCTTTAGAAGTTTTTTTTATGACATTGCATAACCCTATTTAAGCTGGTATATTAAATCAGCTGTGATACTGACTGGGTTAATTTGTATTTGTAGGTAGTATGCTTCAATCACAAGTTATTGATAAGTAGGGGGAAAGTATAAACTGTTCTTGGGGAAATATTTATTGTATTGGCTCTGAAATTGTGGATTGTTCTATTATTTAGCTACCAAAATGAAGAGAGTACAGTTGTACCAACCCAAATTGTACAACGTTTCTACCAGGCAAAAAAACAAACAAACTTTTTCTAATTCAAGATTGGTTTAAATTATAATTCTACGAGGTAGCACATTTGTGTTGGTCTCAAACAAGTCGTTTTAATAGTATGCCTATTAAAACTGGGTGAAAAATTTTGTTTTTTTAATAAAAAAAATTGCTTAGTCTGTGTTTATTTAGTTTACTTAAACTTTGAGTACAATGTTTAATTAATTATGTATCACTCATGGTAACAAGGCATTTGATATAAATATTTTGAAAAATTCTGAAATTTTATTTTAATTCAGGCTTTAATGTGTGAAAAGCATCAGGTACTTAAATAGTTCTTTAAGAGGGAGCTTAGGAAGTTTGTTCATTTATTACATTAAAAATGCTATTACTATTATATAAAAGACAATCTCGCCAACCCCACAGGCTGTAACCTTTAAATAAAACAAGGTGAATATGAAATTTTTGTTTCATAAGTTGTACAGAAATTTTCATTATCATATTGAAAGTAATTATCCCCCCCCCCCATTTTGCTTTTTT